CCCTTTGGAGCAGCCGACAAAAGCAGGCACCAGTTGTAAAAACGGGGGCAGCAGACACGTATCATAGCTTCCCTCCAAGAGGTGCTGGTTCTCTGGAGCATGGCAGAAGGAGAGTGTGAGGAGAGAGCCTGCTCTCTGAGGTCCCAGGAGAGGTTTATGGTCAGCCTTTAGATGTGTGTTTAATTAGAAGCCTGTCTCTCAAGCCGCAGCTCTGAGGAGAAGCTAATAGGCCTCTTTCACAGAAATATTGAGCACCTGGGTCTGTTGCCTCTTTCTGAGCCCTGGGGGTGGTAGCTGTTTAAGAGTCCTTTCTCCATTGGTTACAGTTCTATGGGACCTACGAATATAACTCCTGCTGGTCACTGCAGCCAGGTGATGTAGATGAGTCCCCTAAAAGCAAAATCAATAATCATGATGTCAGATAAAGGTGTATGATCTATTCTAGAAGATACTAGTGAGGTGGAGTGAGGCAGAGGGAGAGGGCAAAGACTGTCCTCATCAGCCTCTGTACTGTGGGCTGCTATGAATGTGTGGAACAAGAAGCCTGACGCTTAGGTCAAAGCTCCTCAACAAAAAATAGGCCTTTCTCACAGAAAGGTCAGGGGTGTCTTTCAGTCTGCTCTCTGTGCAGTGCCTTAGTGGTGATAGTCTGTCAAGAAATGTTTTGGGGAGCCCAGGTGGCTCAGTAGGGTAAGCATTTGACTTTAGCTCAGGTCATGATCTCATGGTTCGTGAGTTCAGGCCCTGTGTTGGGCTCTGTGCTTACAGCTGGGAGCCTGAACCTGCTTCGGATTCTGTATCTTCTTCTTTCTCTGCCCCTCCCTTGCTCATGCACATGCATTCTCTCTGTCTCTCAAAAATAAGTAAACATTAAAAATATTAAAAATATATATATATAAAAGAAATGTCTCTCTGATTGTGATTGGGTCCCATGGGACCAAGAATGCAAACCCTTCTGGCTTCTGGAGCCATGTCCTCAAGGGGGAATTCCCTGGGTGTCAGCTGCAAAAACTGGGTCACCAGATGTAGAAACTGGAGCACCATTAGTGTGTAGAAGCTACCTTCTGGGAGATACTCGTCCTCCGGAGTACAATAGACGGAATGCGTGCAGGTGACACTCGCTGGATGGATTGAAGTGGAGGAGGAATTGCAAAGATGGCACCCACCAACAAAAGGAAAAAGACAAAGAAAGGAAAAGAAAAAGAAAAAAAGGAAAAGGAAAAGGAGAAATAAAAAGAAAAAAAAAGAAAGAGGGGGGAGAAAAAGGCGCTTCCTGGCATTAGCAAGGCAAAGCACAAGTGTCCAAGATGGTGCCTGCTGGCTAAAGCATAAACTTCTCCCCATGGGAAAGGGAGGGGGAAAAATGATAGTGCCTGCTGGTTTTAGAAGTGTAGAGTGAGAGCAGGAAGATTGCGCCCAACAGCCTGCTACCCCCAGAGAACATCTTAGCTGGCCCTTGTCCCTCAGACCAATACTTTAAAATTAGGAAATGAGTTTTTTTCACATAAAGTCTGGGCATTTCTCAAAGGGCTGTTTCTTGGCCCTGGAGTGGATGAGTCTGCACACAGGCCTTTTAAGAGTTATTCCTCAGTTAGGCACAGCCCCAGGATCTTGTGGGCATAAGTCCCATTGGCCTTCAAAGTCAAGTGTTTTGGGAGCTCATCTCTCAGGTGCTGATCTTATAAGTTAGGGTGTCTAATGTAAGGAAAAACCCTTCACTCTTTAGAGAGAACCTCCTGGTTTGAGTTCCCTCCTGACTGTGGGTTGTCTAACCAGGGGGGAGGGTTTATAGCATTAATGTGTCTGAGACTTTCTTCTTGTTGTTCTTTCCCTCTCATTTGCCTGATGTGAAGGCATTGTTTATCAGTTTTTAGTGCCTGTTTTTTCTCTTTTCCAGAAAAAATGATTCCATATATAGTTGTAGATTTGGGGAGTCTGCAAGAGGGGGCGAGTTCAATATCTTCCTATCTTGCCATCTCGAACCAGAACCTCATTATAATTTCTTGTTGAAGAGACTGGGTCAGTTTCCTGGTAGAATTCTACCTTCTGGATTTATGTGATTGTTAACTTTCACTGAAATTTTAGTTTACTTTCCACTAAATTTCCTATAAATGGACGTTTATTTTTTAAATTAATTTATTTATTTTGAGAGAGAGCAAGAGAGTGAGTAGGGGAGAGGCAGAGAGAGAGGGAGAGAGAGAGAATCCCAAGCAGACTCTGCACTGTCAGCACAGAGCCAGACATGGGGCTCGAACTCATAGACCATGAGATCACAACCTAAGCGGGAGTCAGATGCTTAACTGACTGAGTCACCCAGGTGCCCCATGGACATTTCTATCTAAAGTTTTGACTAAAGTCAGGTGTCAGGGAAAACATTATTGTCAAGACTATTTTCATGAATGATGCTGTGAATGTTATATTGTGTCATATCAGGAGTCTCATACTATGTTATCCTCCATCATTAGATTCATGGTTGAGGTGAAAAACGCCACATCACTCTACTGGGGAGTTATGAGATTTCCTCCTAGGACAAGTAAAAGATTCTGTGTGTAGACAACCTGGCAGCAGATTATTATCCAGTCTTTGTGAACCTTATACTCAGTTTTTTTTTTTTTTTTTTTTTTTTTTTTTAAGTAATGTCTAAACCCAGTCTGGGGCCTCAACTTATGACCTCAAGACAGTCACATGTTCTACTGACTGAGTCAGCCATGTGCCCCATACTCAATGCTTTTAGCGCCCATTGCTGACTCCTCCCTGAACCAGTTATTCCATTACAGTTTGCAAAATGGTGATTTTTCCAATCCTGTCAATCCTTTTGCATTCATTAAGTAAGATTCTTCTGTCAAGGAGAGCTTCTTTTCATCAACTGAAGGCAACTGTTGCTCTGAAAGAGTTCCATGTGGTAAAGAAATAATACTTAAAATCTCTCTCTACAAATTTTTGAGTAAGAGAGCTGGTATAAATTCATTTCAATTAGTGGCAAATGTCTTTTTTTTTTCTTTTTGTGTTAAGGTATCATTAGGATTTTTATATATGCAAGTGGATTAATTATTATTCTTTATTATTCTTTAGATTCTTTATGGTGGTGTCACAGATTGTATTTACCTAAGAATGCTATAGCAATATATTTGGTCCCACATGTTCCTCTTCTTTTTTATGTTTCTTTATTTATTAAAATTAAAAAAAATTTAAATTTATTTCTGAGAGAGAGAGAGAGAGAGAGAGAGAGACAGTGTGAGCAGGGGAGGGTCAGAGAGAGAAGAAGATACAGAATCTGAAACAGGCTCCAGGCTCTGAGCTGGCTGTCAGCCCAGAGCCTAATGTGGGGCTTGAACCCATGAACCGCGAGATCATGACCTGAGCCAAAGTTGGATGCTTAACTGACTGAGTCACCCAGGCGCCCCTATTTTATTTCTTATTTGAGAGAGACAGAGCACATGCAGGGGTGTGGCAGAGAGGGAGAAAGAGAGAGAATCCCAAATAGATTTTGTGCTGTCAGTGCAGAGCCCAATGCAGTGCTTGAACTCACAAACCATGAAATCATGACCTGAGCCAAAACCAAGAGTTGGATGCTCAACCGACTGAGCCACTCAGGTGGCCCCCAACATGTTCTTCTTATAATGTGATGTTGACATTTCTCCATTGCTTTTGCCCAGCCTTCTCTAAGGATATGTGCTTTTAGTGAAGGTCAACCACCCTGAAGCCACTACACTGAAGAAGAGAAAGCATATGGAAAGACAACAGAGATATAGAAGACTAAGGGGTCCTGATTTTTCTGGTCCCTTAGTTGCTCCAGGAAACAAACATGTGATTAGATGGATGAGACTTCAGATTTCAGCCTTTAGCTTTTGAAATGATCGGTTGATGTGACTGGAGTGGACACAAGTTGACTCACTGAACTCTGCCCACAATGAAAATTTGAGAGAATAAGTATTGCTTTCAGTAAAGTTTCAAGTGTTTTTCTGCATTGCCATCGTAGCTAGATGATGTTGGCCTATAGGAGCTTCCCCAAATTGATTCCTACATTTTTTGACATGATGTTTATGCTCTTCAATAGTTTCTTTCTGGCATAAAATGATGTCTTAAGCTCATGTTATACATTTTCTGCCTCAGATCTGAAATCAGCCTTTTCTCCAAAGAGTCTTGGTTCTTTTTAGTGGGAAATGGTATTTATGGTTCAAAATGTGGGCATAAAGAAAGTTTTTAAAGGGACAACTTTCAATAGAAAAATTACAAATGTGATGATAATAAAATATTTCAACATGTTTCCTGAAAGCAGAATTGAAAGACAAACTATGAAGGACAACAGAATGGACAAGAAAAGGAGTAAAATTCTAATAAAAGTAAAAACAACATGAATAGTGGTGCCTTGCTGGCTCAGTTGGTAGAGCATGTGACTCTTGATCGCAGGCTTATGAGTTCAGTCCCCACGTTAGGTTTACTGATTTCTTAAAAACAAAAGCAAAACAAACAAAGAAACAAACAAAATCATGAATAAGCCATTCTCAAAATATGGAATACCTATGGATAGTAAATATTGAATCATGTTCAACTTCTTTTTACAAAAAATAGACTATATATTATTTTTCCTTTTATATCAAATTAGTAGATTTTCCTTAAAAAACAAGCTTCAACATTGACAAGAATGCAGTAAAAATGTGATCTTGTACACATTGGTGGAAATTCCGCTTGGTATTTAGCCTTCTGCTAAATAATTGGACAATATGAATTATGCTAAGATATTAAAAAGTTGCAACCATTCTTATTAGTTAGGATAGAGCCTATGATAGTGACAAAGAGGTACCAAATGAAGTGTCTTGAAATTCAAGAAAAAAATTCTCTCCGACCAAAGGTTGAGGGTGAGTAGTCCAGGTTGGAAAGGCAGCTCCACTCTCTGTGGTCACTTAGGGACCCAGTTCTTTCCATTTCCTTGCTTTGCTGTTTCCTAAGTGTGAAAGCTGTGTGGTTGAAACTAAGTCTCAGGTAAGTCTGGGTTCCAGGTTCTATGAAGAGGAGGGAGTAAATATACTAAAATTGGAACAATACAGAGAAGATTAGTATGGCCCTGCGCAAGGATGACACGCAAATGTGTATGAAGAGTAGAGAAAGAAGTCCGGCACAAGCAATTTTCTCTTAAGCAGGAGAGGTGGAATTCTGCTAACAGGGCCCCACTTAGCTGGAAGGGAGGCTGGGAGCTGGAGTCTTCAGACAGGAACTGTTTATCTAACTCAACACTGTCACTTAGGAAGAAGACCACATCCTTTGATTCAATAATTCCATTTCTGATAATCTATTTTAATGAAATACATCAATTACGGAAAATGTGTTAACTACTTAACAGTCACTCAGCCAAGGAAAGTAAGGCTCAGTGTTACCTATTTGAGAGGAAAATCACTTGAGAAATGTCTACATATTATTGAAGCATTTTAGAGGCCATGGCAAGGAATTAAATGAGGTAGAAGCCAGTGGAGGGGTTTGAGTAAAAGAGTGATTTAGTTTAAGAATATTTTGCTTGCTGTTTGGAGGAAGGGGTGAAAGCAGTTGCCGGAGTCCAGGAGACATATGATGATGGTAGTTTGAACTAGGGTTTTAGCAGTATTCGTGATAGTCAATTGAATGCTAAACTTTTATTAGCTGTGTAGATTTGGGAAGGAGAATTTTGTCCGTGAGGCTAAATTTCACACTTTACTTTGCCCACATAATTAGAGATAGTGGCAAAAGGTCACTAGGTATAGACATATACCTAGAGTGTTATTTTAAAATGTTCAAAATTAATTCTATTTATAAAGTTAAAGGTAAGAAAAATCCCAAGAAACTCTAACCAAAAAGATATTTCTCAAGAAAAAAATATAATTTTCAATTGTTTGTATCTTAGTTTATTAATATGCTCTTTCCCACAGAATAATGACAAAATCATGCAATGCAATGAAATGAAAATTGTTCCTTACATTTAAAGTGGGTGGCACTATTTTTGTATATACTTATTAAAGCTACAATATCAATATTTAAATAGTATCTACATATCCTCTTTGTTATGAGAATAATTTAATAATCTATTAAGCTATATGATTATTAATCTAATAACCTATTTGTCATTATGTATATATAATATTTAAATCATCTGCCTGTTTTGTTTTTATTTAAAATTTTTTTTTTAATATTTATTTATTTTGGGGGCAGAGAGAGACAGAGCATGTGTGGGGGAGGGGCAGAGAGAGAGGAAGACACAGAATCTGAAGCAGGCTCCAGGCTCTGAGCTGTCAGCACAGAGCCCGATGCAGGGCTCGAATGCACAAACCACAGGATTGTGACCCGAGCTGAAGTTGAAAGCTTAGCCCCCTGAGCCACCCAGGTGCCCCTCATCTGCTAGTTTGGTATCAAGTTTTTGTTTCTGTTTTTGTTTTTAATTTTTTTAATGTTTTAATTATGTCTGAGACAGAGAGACAGCGTGAGCAGGGGAGGGTCAGAGAGAGAGGGAGATACAGAATCTGAAACAGGCTCCAGGCTCTGAGCTGGCTGTCAGCACAGAGCCTGATGCAGGGCTCGAACCTACGAACTGTGAGATCATGACCTGAGCCGAAGTCGGATGCTTAACTGACTGAGCCACCCAGGTGCCCCTGGTATCAAGTTTTTGATATTGACTTCTGAGAAGGTGACCAGGTTGCTTGTGACTATGGAATTCAATATGTGATTCCATGAGGCAACTAATTTCCATTTGATTTCTATTGGGAATAAGCCACGTAAACAATAAAACTGTTTGCGTCAATTAATTTATTCTCAGTACTTGTTGAACACCTATGATGTTTAACACCTATTTACATTATGTCACTGCAAATACCAAGGTGCATGACAGTCAGTGGATTTATAAGCTGATTACAGACATCCTGTTTCTATATAAATATCTGAAATACAGTTGATAAACCAAATTCACAGGAAGTAATACAATTAAACTAGACAAAGTGAATTCTCCTCTTGGCCAGGGAAGTATACTTCTGGTCACTGCTGTCTAACTTGGCCATGATTTTGTTTTATAAAAGCTTAATAATTTTGGTATTCTTACCTTAAATATTACATTTATTATTATTTACCATAATGAAACTGAGATGAAACAGTTTTATTACTAGCCTTCAGATTCAGTATTAGACTCAGAACATGTTATAAGGAGCCTTGACAAAGCTATTACTTCTTTGACTTATCACAGAAATAGAATAATAAGCCCTGTGCCAAATAAAAAGAAATTTTATTTGAAACTATACACACAGTTCAAATACCCTGCCCCTAAAAATCTAAAAACCTGCTTTGTGCTAGGTACCTAGTAGGTGATCAATAAATGGTATTGAATGAATGGAATGCAAGGATGAATCGATGATTCTGAGTTTCTGTCTACTTATCTAGGTCTACAAGTCTATTTCTGTTGGACTGTGTGTGAGGAATTATTGCACATGGCACTGAATCTAGTTGTTACCTCCCTAAGAAATTGCATGAACTAAAAGCAATAGTGACTAGTTTAAATAAAATTCACACAAAACCCACCAATATTTTCTGACATATACACATACATATCTACTGAAAGGTGTGGAGGGGCGGGTAGTAGTGATTTGCAGTTGAAATTACTCCCATGTTTCCTGGCATCTTGACAGTAGCTCATTTTTCACCTTCCCTGAACTAGGTGTAGAACTCCAGTTACTTCCCATATATCTGATGAGTTCTGGCTGCAAACACATCCCAATGCTTTTCTTGCTTATTTCTTCCTTCTGTTAGAAACAGAAGGAATCAGGCAAAAAAATTTGTGTGTGTGTGTGAGAAAACAACAATTCCTTACTCTGTACCACCTGCTTAAATGTAAGGCAAAGGCACCCAAATGATGCAGCCCACGAGTGTAGAAGAGGCTGGAGGACGGGCTGTCACGTCTGGCTGATCTGATGTCAGAGCGGATCATGTGGTGCTCTGTGGGCCGCTGGGACTGGCCCGCCGAAAGCACATGGATTAGCGTCTGAGGCTGTAACGGGAAAGTCGGCTCCGGGGCTGCTGTCTCATAGACACCAGCCTGCAGGGAAGCTGGGGGCTCTCTGCTTTGCCCTGCTCCGGGGCCCCTCCTGCCGTGTGACTCACAGTTACATTGCACAGAGAAGCTGCTGCTCCCAGTAAGTACTTAAAGAAGGTTTTTATTCAGAGGCTTCTGGAAGCCGGAGGAAGTGTTGGTGGTGATGGGGGTTACTGGAAGCCCTTTGTAAAACACTCCCAGGATCTGGGCTGGGCAGAGCGTCTTTCCATGCCATCCTGGAGTTGATAGGCAGCGCTGATGTGCCTATGTCCCCCCAGCCCTGATTTCGGTTTGTTCTCCATGTGATGTTTTTCTGAATGGCATTTTTTATTTTTGTGATTGTAGGGTAGATCTGTTAAATCTGGTTCAAGTGAATTGATTTCACAGCCTTACACCCCTGAGTGGTCCTGGCGTTCTCTGTATGGTAAACAGGGAGAGGGGAAGGAGGGTGGTGTCTCTCTTGGTCAGATCACTGTTTATGCTAAGATACTGGCTGTGTCTGTGCCGGAGAAATATTTAGTGGTTGCCACCTCTCTCTGGCTTTGGGTGAGTAGGTGATGGGAAAGAAAGCAGGGTGAGCCAGCAGTGAGGAGTATGTCGATTTGAGGACTTACCGGTAACCTGAAATGCTGTTATATATTGCTTTTTAATGGTCAATTTTATAGGAGGTAGTGTCAGCTGGCAGAACAGGTGCCAGTAATGGAAGAATGATGGAGTTCTCGCTCCCTTTTCCCAGCAAGCAAATTGTTTCCCCTGCTTCCAAAGCTCTGTTAAAGAGTGGTGAGAAGTGCAAGCAGTGCAGATTTCTAAGCACTGTTTTTGTTGCTTTGCTGGTAACAAGCATCACATTCCCACACTCAGGGATCAGGAAAGATCCTTACCTCTGTAATGTTTAGGTGTGGCCTTTTTGGAGAGCAAGGAAATACACTCAGTATTATCTTATTGTTCCTTCTGGGCGTGTATCACTAAATTTGTTTTGGAGACTGAAAATAAGTCTCTTGGAAGGGCCTATAAAGGGAGATTTAGAAGAAGAGATTGTTTATTTGGCTGGGCGCTGTTCAGAGCACTTGACAGAGTTTTAGGTCAAGGTGTGGGATGTCCACTTGAAAGACATAAACAAATAATTATTGAGGCCACGTCTTTGAGCATTGGGAAATATTTATTCTTTTTGTTTTGTTTCATTTGTTTGTTTTGTTTTAAGGAATAACCCTAGTCTTTTCTTTGAGTCTCTGCATAAACTGTAGGTGTTGGGGTCAAAGCCTGATTCTAGAACATTTAGGTATTGAAGTAACTTTCGGGTGGGAAAGATAGTGGGATGGGAGCAGAGCAAGTATGCTTAGATGAGATCCATTCTTTTTTATAGGCTTTTGCAATAGATGATTTAAGTCACAGACCATCAAACAACAGACGAGAGCTTGCCCCACCCATAGTGTTGTGAACATGGATTATTCATTCACTTGCCATTTTATTCCAATGAACTGCATAAGCACTAAGTGCAGAGAGGGTTCTAATTCACCATTTGAACCCCATGAAGCAGAGTACAAGCCAAATAAAATGCAGCTGTAGAAAAATGAAGCCTTCTCTTTCCTGCCCCACCCCATCTTGTTCTCCCTCCATATTGTTGAGTGAAGCTAGATTGAAGCTGAAAAGGGTCCTTATTACTGCTTGTAATTTCATTAGCCATTTCAGAAGAGGGGACAAGGGCATTGGATATGCAGCTGGTACTTGCTGGGGGAGAGTAGGTGTGCATCCTGTGAGAAATGTTTTCAGAGGTACTTTTACTGACCCAGCCCTAGACCACACCCCCTTTTTTGGCTTCATGCCAAATACTGTATCTCTGTATAGGGAAGCCTGATGAACTGATGCCCATGCTTTGGCACATTGATTCTCTGGTTGTTAAATCGAGGAGCCCTCATCTCTGCAAGGACACACCACCTGCTTCTCAGGGTGGAGATGCCAGTTTATGGGTGTTTTAGAATTTCTTTTCTTCAAAAATTAATATACTGTTATGAAGAGAAATGGAAGAAAAGGACTCATTTCCCCTTCCCACTCACAAAAGCTCTGCTTA